ATCAATTTGATTGCTTGACAGTCAGGAGGTGTTCCAAAAAGGATTTCTAAAAGTGCAGACTTCTGTTGAAATGTATAAACAGTTATAATATAAGTTTGCAGGGACATGCAGTTAACCCCTAGCTGAAGTACTTTAAGGGACTGGAGTCTCCCTATAATGTAATGCAAAGTAATTGCCAAAAAAAAAACGTTTACCACTTCAGCTGGAAGGCTATTCCATGCATCCACAACCCTCTCAGTAAAGTAATATTTCCTGATATTATTTTTAGACGTTTGCCCCTCTACTTTAAGACTATGTCCTCTTGTTGTGGTAGTTTTTCTTCTTTTAAGTATAGTCGCCTCCTTTACTGTGTTGATTCCCTTTATGTATTTAAATGTTTCTATCATATCCCCCCTGTCTCATCTTTCCTCCAAGCTATGCATGTTAAGATCCTTTAACCTTTCCTGATAAGTTTTATCCTGCACTGGACACTGGAATGATTAAGAAAAATAAATATCTGGACCCCTTGTTGCATAGAAGATATTATGTGTGCCTTCTGTGTTTTCTTTTAAATTAACAGTAAGAAAATAGAATTTCTAATTAGCTAATAGTGGCCAGCCTTTCTTTACAATAGGTTGTAATAAGAAGGGGTTTGGAATAAAGGTCTATATTTGTTATAAGCGTGGCACAGTCAAAAGGTCACAGCATGAATGCACTGATAATGGTACCACGAGAAAAATCGGGTTGAGGTCAGGACTCTGACTGGGCCACTTCAGAAGGCGTATTTTCTTCTGTTTAAGCCATTCTGTTGTTGATTTACTTCTATGCTTTGGGTCATTGTCCTGTTGCAACACCCATCTGCTGTTGAGCTTCAGCTGGTAGACAGATGGCCTTAAGTTCTCCTGCAAAATGTCTTGATAAACTTGGGAATTCATTTTTCCTTCGATGATAGCAATCCGTCCAGGCCCTGACACAGCAAAGCAGCCCCAAACCATGATGCCCCCACCACCATACTTCACAGTTGGGATGAGGTTTTGATGTTGGTGTGCTGTGCCTTTTTTTCGCCACACAGTGTTGTGTGTTTCTTCCAAACAACTCAACTTTGGTTTCATCTGTCCACAGAATATTTTTGCCAGTACTGCTGTGGAACATCCAGGTGCTCTTGTGCAAACTGTAAACGTGCAGCAATGTTTTGTTTGGACAGCAGTGGCTTCCTCTGTGGTATCCTCCCATGAAAATCCATTCTTGTTTAGTGTTTTACGTATTGTAGGTTCGCTAACAGGGATGTTAGCATTTGCCAGTGACTTTTGTAAGTCTTTAGCTGACACTCTAGGATTCTTCTTCACCTCACTGAGCAGTCTGCGCTGTGCTCTTGCAGTCATCTTTACAGGACGGCCATTCCTAGGGAGAGTAGCAGCAGTGCTGAACTTTCTCCATTTATAGACAATTTGTCTTACTGTGGACTGATGAACAGCAAGGCTTTTGGAGATACTTTTATAACCCTTTCCAGCTTTATGCAAGTCAACAATTCTTAACCGTAGGTCTTCTGAGAGCTCTTAACCGTAGGTCTTGTGCGAGGCATCATTCACATCAGGCAATGCTTCTTGTGAAAAGCAAACCCAGAACTGGTGTGTGCTTTTTATAGGGGAGGGCAGCTGTAATCATCTCATTGATTGGACTCCAGTTGGCTGACATCTCACTCCAATTAGCTCTTGGAGATGTCATTAGTCTAGGGGTTCACATACTTTTTCCACCTGCACTGTGAATGTTTACATGGTGTGTTCAATAAAAATTTGGCAACATTTCATTCTTTGTGTGTTATTAGTTTAACCCCTTAAGGACTGGACTGTTTTTGCGATGTTGTACATTTGCGACCAGGCATATTTTTACACTTTTGTGGTGTTTGTGTTTGGCTGGAATTTTCCGCTCTCTCATTTACTGTTCCCATACAAATTATATATTGTTTTTCAGGACAAAAGGGGCTTTCTTTACATACCATTATTTATATAATCTCATGTATTTTAATTTAAAAAAAAATAAAAAAATATAATGAAAAATTGAAAAAAATACATGTTTTTTGACTTTTACTTGAAAAATCTTTTACTCATCTACAAAAGCGAATTAAAAAAACTGCTAAATAGATTCAAAATTTTGTCCTGAGTTTAAAAATACCCCGTGTTTACATGCTTTTTGCTTTTTTTTGCATGTTATAGGGCTATAGGTACAAGTAGAATATTGCGGTTTCAAAACATAAATTTTTAAAATTTATCAATAGTGACATTGTAACACTATTATCTGTCATAAATCTCTGAATAACACCCCACATGTACATATTTTTTTTAAAGTAGACAACCCAGGGTATTCAATATGGGGTATGTCCAGTCTTTTTTTAGTAGCCACTTAGTCGAAAACACTGGCCAAAGTAAGCATTCATATTTGTTTGTGTGTGAAAAAAGTAAAAAAACTAAATTGAACGCTAATTTTAGCCAGTGTTTGTGACCAAGTGGTTACTAAAAAAGACTGGACATACCCCATTTGCAATACCTTGGGTTGTCTTCTTTTGCAAATGGTATGCCATCATGGGGGTAATTCTCATTCCTGGGCTACCATACGCTCTCAAAGGCAACGTGACCAACCTGGCCATTTTCAATGTAAAATATTTGACCCATATATTTGACCTTGTAACTTTCAAAAATGCTATAAAACCTGTACATGGGGGGTACTGTTTTACTCGGGAGACATCGCTGAACACAAATATTAGTGTTTAAAAACTGGAAAACGTATCACAGCAATTATATCATCAGTAAAAGTGCTGTTTGTGTGTGAAAAATGCAAAAAAAGTAACTTTCACTGACAATATCATCGCTGTGATATGTTTTACTATTTTGAATCACTAATATTTGTGTTCAGCGAAGTCTCCCGAGTAAAACAGTACCCCCCATGTACAGGTTTTAGGGTGTCGTAGAACGTTACAGGGTAAAATACAGTGCTAGCAAATTCAATTCTCTGGAATTTCGGCCTGGGCTGGCAGGCAGGTCCCTCAAATTGCAATCAATAAAATTACTGAATTATGTAAAAATATTACATAAATGCGCATGTAGAATTTAAATATATATGCATATTTATATATTTGAAGTCTACGTGTATATTTATATAATTATTTATGTAATTTTGTATATGGACATATGTATATTTCTTATTATTTTTATTTATTTTTATATACATAGATATATATACAAATTCATTCTAAGTGTATTTTGATATAAATATATATATATTAATTTTAAAATACAGTTAGAATAAAATTTGATTTTTTTTTGATTTTTGAATTTTTTTTTTTTATTATTATTTAAAAAATGTTTTATTTAATTTAAATTACTTATTATTTATATTTTATAATAATATATATATACAATATATATAGTTATTATATATATTATATATATACGTGTGTAATTTAATTATAAGTGTATTTTTATATTAATATAAGTACATATTAATATAAAAATACACTTAATATGACATTATATATATATGATATATAGACATATATTATATAGATATAATATATGTCTATATATCATATTTATACATATATAATTATTATTATTTTTTTTATTACCATTAACTTTAATTTTTTTTCTGATTTTACAGTTGCAGGGAGACTGCCTGTCAGCACAGACAGTCCCCCTGCAGGCAGACACATGGACACCTATTATGACCATGTGATCGCTGTGTTGAGCGATCACATGGCCACAGGGGTCCTAATCCAGTGTGGGGAGACTGTCTGGGCTGCAGGCAGTCTCCCCACACCGGGAGCACCGCTGATCGCCGCCGGGGGAACGACGGCGATCAGGTAAGTACCCCCAGACCGTTAGGACGGTTCAGGACCGTCATCGGTCCTCAAGGCAAAAATGCCGATGACGGTCCTGAACCGTCCTCGGTCGCTAAGGGGTTAAGTAGACTGTGATTGTCTATTGTTGTGACTTAGATGATGATCAGATCACATTTTATGACCAATTTGTCCATATCATTCCAAAGGGTTCACATACTTTTTCTTGCAACTGTATATATATTTATAATATATATGATCTAAGTATATATATATATATACACACACATAAATATACATACACTGTCTACGTGTATTTTAATATTAATATATATATACAATTATACATATATATTAATATCAAAGTACACATAGAATGATATTGATTAAATATAATCATTATATATTTATATATAATATAAAATAAATAAATATGTAAATATGTAAAAAAAAAAATAATAATACAAAATAAATAAAAAATGTGTAATTTTGTTCTAACTGTATTTTAAAATTAATATATATATTGATATCAAAATACAAGTAGAACAAAATAATATATATATATCTATATGCATTAGTATATACGTATATATCACTATATATACCTATATATAAATAAAAATAATTTAAAAAAATTATATACATACACACGTATATATATATATAATTCTACATATATATTTATGTAATAATTTTACATAATTAGGTCATTTTTTTAATTACAATTTGCGGGACCTGTCTGACAACCCAAGCCGAAAGTCCAGGGAATTTAATTTGCTGGCACTATATTTAACCCTGTAACTTTCCAAGACACCATAAAACCTGTACATGGAGGGTACTGTTTTACTCAAAAGACTTTGCTGAACACAAATATTAGTGTTTCAAAACAATAAAATGTATTACAATGATGATATCATCAGTAAAATTAAATTTTTTGCATTTTTCACACACAAATGGCACTTACACAGACAATATAATTGTTGTGATAGGTTTTACTGTTTTGAAACACTAATACTAGTGTTCAGCGAAGTCTCCTGAGTATAACAGTACCCCTCATGTACAGGTTTTATGGTGTTTTCAAAAGTTACAGAGTCAAATGTCAGTTTTTTCATATTGAAACTCGCCAGATTGGTTATGTTGCCTTTGAGACCATATGGTAGCCCAGGAATGAGAATTACCCCCATAATGGCATACCATTTGCAAAAGTATACAACCCAAGGTATTGCAAATTGGGTATGTCCAGTCTTTTTTAGTAGCCACTTAGTCACAAACACTGGCCAAAATTGCCGTTCAAATTAGTTTTTTGCATTTTTCACACACAAACAAATACGAACACTAACTTTGGCCAGTGTTTGTGACAAAGTGGCTACTAAAAAAGAATGGACATACCCCATTTGCAATACCTTGGGTTGTATACTTTTTCAACTGGTATGCCATCATATGGAGGGGGGGGGGGGGTAATTCTCATTCCTGGGGGTGCAATACGGTCTCAAAGGCAACATAACCAATCTGGCAAATTTCAATGTGAAAAAACTGGAAAAATGTAACATTCTATATTTGACCCTGTAACTTCACCAAAACACCATAAAACCTGTACATAGTGGGTACTGTTTTACACATGAGAAATCGCTGAATACAAATATGTGTATTTCATTGCAATAAAAGCAAACAGTATTATGACATTCACAGTTAGAATGTCACGTAGAACTAATTTCTTTTTTTAATTGTTATTTTCTCCCATATTTTTTATTCTATTCATATTAAATTATGTTTCATACCTAAATACTTGATGTTAAATGAAAACCCTGTTTCCCCTGAATAAAATGATATATATTAAGTGTGGGTGCACATAAAATGAAAGAGGTGAATTACGCCTGAAAAGACATATAGCGCAAATTCCAGTTTTTGTTTACGTTTTTTTATCATATATAGTTTTTTATTTAGTTGAACAGAGTAGGTACATACATTTCGTCCAGTTGACAGTGTTAGATAAATAAATCATTCCATTGAAGTATTGCGCTACATTTTAACATGGTCCAGTGCACATGAGGTATGCATAACAGTAAGTATCTACAAATAAGTTATCACAAGGGTAAGTTGGTGTGTATCGTCAACATGGATTTTTAAGGCGTCTTATTTTTTGATATTTCCGTTCGATGGAAACCTAAGGGGGAACTTGGGTGGGTAGGGAAGGGGTCTAACTTGGGACTGGGGATATATAAATCCCTAACCCTGCCGGCTCCTGTTCTGTTTACTCCTGGTTTGCATTCATTTAGCAGTTGTGTATCTGTAGTTATCTATGATTGCATTTACCTTAAGGATTTCATTTACATTTGTATATGCGTTTACGGTCACAGTGGAGTGTAACCCTTCTGTTTGACATAATATTATTTACTTCTACGGTTTGGGTCTCCAACAGCCCCACTCCCTCTCGTGCCAATCCTCCTGGCCCTGCATCCTGCTAGTCATTAGTTCATAGGAGCCGATTACGTCCATTCTGCTGCTAACCGCCTCTATGTTAGGTATTTTTGTGCTCTTCCAGTTTTGCGCTAGAAGAACCTTTGCTGCGCTAAGTATGTTGATTATCACTTTTCTGTGGGGATGTAGTGTCAACTCAGGTATTATGTGTAATATATAGTGTTCGGGCTGTAGCCGGATTAGGAGGTCTGTTGTGCTAGATATAAGGCCTTGTATTTGTTTCCAGAATACCCTTAGCAACGGGCACTCCCAAAACATGTGTAACATGGTTCCCTCTCCTCCCCCACAGCGCCAACATAGCTCAGATGCATCCTTGTAAATGCGTGACAGTCTATGTGGGACTAGGTACCACCGCATAGAAATCTTGCAGTATGCCTCCCACAAAGAGAGGCTCTTTGAGGCTCGTTTTGTATTCGTCATTGCCTCACTCCATCTAGACAAGGGGATTTGGTGCCCTAACTCCTCTTCCAATGCAGCATGTAAGAAGTCTTCTCTCCAGACTGGCCGTGGAGAAGGGCATTATAACACATGGACAGTAGCTTCCCCAATTTAGGTGACGAGATCTGGGTGAGTAGTAGGGGAGGGTCTTCGAGTGGTGTTTGCATTTCTTTCAAGTATGGTAATAGTATTTTTTTACTCTAAGGTAGAGGAACATGTTTCTTTGGGGTAGGAGGTATTGCCGCTGAAGGTCAGGGAAGGGTTTGATCGTGTTGCCCTCCAGGAGGTCTAACACTTTATGTATGCCCTTAGTAGCCCATCCAGTCATGGGTAGGTCTGGGGAGAATATGGCCAAGGTCGCCAGGGGTGCTTCTCTGAGAAGCGAGTGAGGGTTCATAATTAAGCGATTCCAGAGCTGCCAGGAATGCAGCAGGAATCGAGTGCACTGCAGTGGCTACGCCCCTACCTGATTACGGGGTGTGCTGGTCCACAGGGAGTGTATTATGTTTTGCGGATGAAGGCATGCATTTTCTAACGACAACCATAAGGGCTGTTGGGAAGATTTCGTAAGTCTCAATAGGTGCATCCCCTGCGCTAAGATAGAGGCTCTGTAATACGTCTTGATGTCCGGCAACCCTAGGCCCCCTTTGGTGTAAAGAAGCCCTAGGTTGCGTTGGGCTACCCTCGGAGGCTTCCGCTTCTAAACGTGCGCATTTATGGTGGCTTGTAGTAGTTTGAGCAGTTTGTTTGGTATTGCTATGGGCAGTGTGCAGAAGAGGTAGAGAATGTAGGGCAGTGTCATCATTTTAATTGTGTTTACACGGCCTAACCAGGAGATCTCTAGATTTTCCCACTTCTCTAGGGTAGTTTTGAGTTTATTGGCTACGGGGTAGTGGTTCTCCGTTAGGATCGCTTGGTGTGTTTTCGTCAGTTTGATCCCCAGGTATGTAAGGGATGATATGCGCCAGTCGAATGCATACTCAGAGCTTAGTTTGGCCATTAAGTGGTGTGGTAAGTTTATCGGTAGTGCTTGAGTTTTGGAGGTGTTGTTTTTGTAGTATGATACCTCTCCATAATCTCGCAGGAGCCCTAGGAGTGTGGGGATAGAGGTTGTTGGGTTGGTAATAAACATGAGAATGTCATCGGCAAACAGTGCTATCTTGTTTGTGCCGCCTGGAGTCAACAAGCCATGTATGTGTGTGTTGCCATTTATGAGGCGTGTCAGGAACTCAAGACAGAGGATGAAGATGAGCGGGGACAGTGGACAACCCTGGCGCGTACCATTGGCTATGGAGAAAGATGCAGATAGAAAACCTGTGCTAAAGACTTTCGCTGATGGGTATTGGTAGAGGGCCATTACACTTGCCAAGAAAGCGGGAGGAATTCCCATTTTGCTCAGCGTGCATTCCATGTATCCCCAGTGCAGGCGGTCGAACGCCTTTTCATCGTCCAGCGCCAGCACTAGGCCCTGCTGTGAGGAGTGACTGGCCCAGTCGATAAGGTTTATGAAGTGGCAGGTGTTGTCCCCCACCTGTTTCCCAGGTACAAACCCCGCTTGAAAGATGAGCGTGGGAAAGAGTGTTTTGACCCTTGTTGCTAACATTTTGGCATATAGTTTGACATCTGAATTAAGTAAGGAAATTGGTCGTAGGTTGGCGCAGTTAGTGGGGGGTTTGTTAGGCTTGGGAAGGGTGACAATAAATGCCTCCAGCATCTCTCGGGGCATGGTTCCAGATTGTTTAAAAGTATTGAACAGTCGAAGCAGGTGGGGAATTAGTTGTTTTGCAAATTTTATGTAGTAGTAGTTAGAGAGCCCGTCTGGGCCAGGGGATTTGTGTTTGGGGAGGGAGTTAATAGCGTCCCTGAGTTCATCCTCTGTAAAAGGGGTGTCTAGATACGTGCCCTGGTTTACGTTTTGTTTTGATCACAACGTGTACATTTGGCTCAGTCCTTAAGGGGTTAAAATGAAAAGCCAAGTTCATGACTACAAATGCCGAATACATCCAATATGAATACAAAATTTTAAAAGCAACATTTATCATGTATTTACGTACATGTAACCACTAAAGCTTGTACATCTGGTACATTTGTTGCAATAAAATAAATGTGTTTAAAACAGTGTACATAGCTATGCAGAAACGCAGTATGAAACACAATCGCTGTCTGTGCTCAATTGCATGTCAAGCTGGGGACTCTGGGACAGTTTTGAAAACGTGATTTCTCAAGATTCTGTGCCCAAGGGGTGCTTTCCATGGAAACGATAAAAACAACTTGCTCATATGAAGAGTGTATGGGCTGAGTGAACTTTTTAAAAGGATCCTGCTGGAGTTGCTATGGAAATAAATGGGAAAATGCACAATTTTCCTCGATGTACATCTAATTTGAAAAACAGTAAATGCTAAAAGGTGACCGTTATCAGTGAATTTGAGTGGCATGTAAAGGTAAAACAGCAAGTGTTTATTACAAAAACTATAAAAGCTGTAAGCATTTTCAAGCTGTTGACATTTAAAATGAGCAATTCTTAACAAACCGAGAAATAAGTTTTAAAATTGCAAGCTAAGTATCAAAGCCACTACTGCATACTTTAGTGGTAATGATGCCATAAGTCTCATACCACCACCAGACCATTTGCAAACAGTTTGACATTTATCTGGCTTTGTCTGGGGCCTGTGGTCCATCCATTCTGCACTGATCTGCTAAAGCTAAGTTCATACGTCAGCATCAGCAGTGTCTATTTTGTGCAGCTTTCCACATAACTCACTGGTTGAGCGTGGCAGATGACGTCGAAATATAAACGTGGACTCTTAGCATATTAGTGCAAAGCGTGTATTTGTCCTGTGTGCCCTTCTGGGTCAGTAGTGATTGTATAAGATGTTTACTGCATGCCATATTTATATGTTTTTAAGCTTTTGCAAGAATTTTTTGAGGAAGAAAATTAGCATTTTTATTTCAATCACAGAGTTTCCATCAAGAATGCAAGAATTTATTATATGAATGCTTTGGAGTTCATTTGAAGGGGTCCTCCAGCGTGCCCCAAGGAAACAGACTACAGGAGCACTGAGTACCACAAAACTTGGTTTAAACGTATGCTTTTTAATCCTGAATAACACGTTAATTATTGGTGTGGCGGTGGACATTTTCTTTTTTGCTGATGTTGAAGTATGAACTTGCCCAAACCAGTGCCAAGCAGAAGCCGTGGACGTCTGAAAGAGCCAGGTAAGTTCATAACCCTTCATAAATGCCCATGGTCTCTTGGCACAATAACCACTATAGTTTTTAATGCAGTCCCTTAGTCTGCCTTCTATTTATTGATTCAGCTCAAGCAAATTATTTTGACAAAACTATTATTAGCAAAATAAAAAAAATAAAAAAGGGTATGGTTAAGGTAGGGATCAAGTTAACATCGGAATTGACTGTTAGCAGATTTTAATGTATTTTCTCAAACAATACTTATGGCCATGAAGAATACATACAATATTTCTGCATTTAAAAAAAAAAAAAAAAAATCACATTATAT